ATGTGTGTCTGAAAAAAGTGGCAACACGACAGCCAGCAGCAATGTTTAAGCAGCACTTCCCACTGAAAAGTCCAAGCCAAAGCATTGGCACCATCACTGCCACAGCGAGTTCACGAAAAACGTGAAAACTGGAATATTGCTCATTGCCAGCTCTCGGCACTACTCACGCACGTGCATTCACCACCAAACAGGTTCGATGGTAGCGGCAATCTGGCTATCAAATCAAAAGTTGATCAGAGGCTTAGCCCAACATCCGAGATCACTGTAAGCCCCATTCTTTGGGGTGCTCTGCACATCAGGTCCCTCATCTGGTTCATCATCATCATCAGAAATGGGTATCCTGCCAAACACTGCTCATTATCTGAGCAGAAAATAGCCGACCACTTCAGCACAAATATCCTGAGCTTTCCCAGCCCAGGTGGCACCAACGCAGCTATCCTCATCGCAAGCCAGAGTCACAAAATCAGCCAATGGACTCACAAGAACAAGCACAACAAAGTCCACACGATTGAGAGGCCATCGGATGCAGACCTTATGATGACAAAACCTGATTTGTAGGAAGCCGGAAACTCTGTAACACGATGCTCCATTCTTGCCATAAATTGCAAAACATGCATGAAAGCATGGGCCCCAATATCATCACAGCTCCAAGCCCACACTCAGGAGATTCCTAGAAAACATGCACCAGGGTCCCAAACACACCCCAAAACCATGTTCTACCACAAAGTATAGACCAGGATCCCACCCTGGCTCCGAAACCATCTTCGTGGCAGCCGTTCATTAAAGAGCGTCTTTTTCATTATGCGGTTCTGGCCGCCAAAATCAAGGGGCAGCTGTGAATGAACACCCAAGAGCCAAGGTGTCACTGCCCGTACGAATGGACCACGTGCTAGCTACATAACATTGAGTGTCCGAAACTACAGTTTGAGCACACAGAAATGTGTTTGATGCCTTCTCCTTTGGCAGGACACGGCCCGCCACTTTGTGTAGTGCGCAACTGCAGCCCATCAGCACATTTTCTGCGCATTTTGACCAAAGCACCAGTTTGAAGCCGCGAATTGCACCTTTACACAGATTGCACACACGCACACACATACACACCACTGCACCACACAGCCAAATTACAAACCAGCCCCATTCTACACCTTCCTGACTTGGACGCGTGCTGGAAGTTTCACTTTCGCGCTCACATCCTTGCACACTCCTTGGGTGGCTGCGACCACCCTCAAGGGAGCGCCACGTTGTTCCAGAGCGCGCCCTCGTGCTGTGGCCCCTCCAAGCTTCTCCTCTCCACTGGGCGACCCCTTCTCGGGGCGTCTCCGTGGCGGATGCCACCATCTCCGTGTCGATGGATTTTGATGGGCAGATCTCCGATGGCCAGCCATCGGCGTCTCGCCATGGTCGCGCGCCTTGTGGGCGTCCTTCACCGGTTTGGACTGCACCTTTAGGGCCTTCGCGGCCTGCCTATCCCGTGCGTTTTGCCTTGGTTATGCGGCGGGCGCCTTCTCGGCGTCCTTTGGGCGTTTGTGGCCATCCCCGAGTCGGATTCGAGGGATGCCTTGAAGTGATCGTTAGGCAAACCGCCTAACGGACGCGCCGCGGAAACGGCGCCTTTGTGGGTGTCATGCCCGCCCTCTTGCCACTCTGAGCGGGGGTGCACGGCCTCCTCGGCCGCCACCCCCAGCTCGCTTTCTCAGCGGGCGTTTTGTGGTGTGGCACTTTGCGGTGCTGCGGGGTTCATTTTTATGGCCAGACATCTGAAGTGTCGTATGGCCTAACGTGGTGCTCAACGCCCACAGCCACACGCACGCCTATCAATCACTAAACAGCGTTTGCACATCCACAAAATGCACTGGTCTGACCCCTTCAAACCGTCCACTTGACCCTTCAAAACGGTTCAGGCCACCCCACAACCGCAACACCGGCGTCACCAAAATGGCTACACAATCAAGATCATTCTACACATTTTTCAGGATGGGGCTGCGCCTCCCGTGTGCAAAAGAATGCCATAGCAATGGTTGGGCATGTAAAGCATTGTCTCGTACTTAAAACACAAGGACGTGTTGCAATGGGGCAATACACACAACCCCAAATCTAAAACATATAAGATGTAGCCAAACTTCAAAAGCAACATGTCCAGCCCTCTCACATTACTCAAGCATTGCAAAGCCACAAGACTAAACCCAGTAGAGTGATTAGGAACACGTTCCAAAAGGTGCCCACACAAGATTAGGCAGCCTCTTCTAAGAGAACCTCAACAACTGGCCTCCTTTTCAAGTTAATAAAATTGCATACTACTACAAGTACACAAAATGCGCCCTTGCACCCGCGCAACCCCTCACAACACGTTGCCACTCCTCCCTAGTGTCCCATGCCACCAAGGGAAGGTGTGCATGACTCATGGGTTAAAAGCACGCATTGGCAGCTGCGCGAACATAGAAAAAGAAGTGGTGTTACACACAACCACTTTAAAGACAAAACAACCCTTTTTAAGGGTCTGAACAAAGCATTCAGCCCTCCCCATTCAGAACACAATGGACGGGTTGCCGGTCCTTCCACAGGACCATGCACAATCCGGTGCACTTGTCTTGTCAAAACTACCATCACCCTCTCATGTGTTCCTTTTCTCCACTAGGCCAACTCTCATCAACTTTTCCCTCAATAACTAAACACTTTGTCCCAACTCGGTGTGGCTTGCACAGCCAACCATGGGTGAAGTGTAAAACACACAATCAGCACACAGGGTAAGGGGAGTCAACCTACTTCTGACTCTCACTCCCTCACCCTAATCGTGTGTTGAGCTTGTCATGGCCATCCTGGCGCATGACTTTTAGTGCATGCAGGATTTTTAGTGAGAGAGCTAAAAATAACCTTGCATAGCACAAGGACTGACACCGTGTTCGGTCTCTGAAATCCCACAGAGCCAGCACACCTGCCATGTCAGACCTGTGTGTGTAAGTGCATTTCAAGACCTCCGCTTGAACGTAACCTTACACATCACATGAAACCCCGTTTTTTCATGTGAATTACTGGACTATACGCCTTTCCTCGTCAGGTCAGGCAGCCCAGATGGTCTTTCTCAGACCAGGGATGTGCTAGCTAGGCTCACCCCAATTCACCCACTCAGCCTGGGCCCTTGAGGTCCAGGACCTCCCAGAATCGTCTCTGAATCCAGCCAGTCTGGGGAGCTGACTGGTGACACGGATCTGTCGAGCACACAGGGTGGCATCTCACATCCAGCCCTTGTCTCCCTAACCTTACACCGCCCTCGCTCTCACTCCTAAGGTTTGCAGCTGTCCGCTCATAACCCATTTTTGGAGCGTTTTCTCTTTGTTTTCTTTTCCTTTTTTTATCAGCAATGGTGGCATACTCGGGCCATCCCATGCAGCGTGCACAGCGCATATGGTAGATACCCATCGTACGCCAATTACATAAGTGATCCACCCAGTGAAAACGGTGGTCATTATGTGGCGTCACGAACAGTGTGGTATTTTGGGAGTATCTTTTGAAGGGACTTAGAAGGGGCTTTGCAAACGTCCTCCAGGATCTTGGGAGGCCTTGGGGTAGGCTGACTGACTGGAAAATCGGGTGAAGACCTGAGCGTCGTAGCGGGTGGGCGCTTAACCACCAGTCGCCACAGACAGCGCCGCGGCCTTCTCATGGCATTTCTGCTGGCTCACGGATTTGAGCCGCTGGCAGCCACCAAATGAGCCAAAAAATCCAAACAACTGTGCTCATTTGACTGGGTACTTGAGCGATCGTTTGAGTTATTGTAGATCTCTAATTACAGATCTAATCCGATCTAATTACAGATCGGTTAACGGCAAGCAATGGGCACAACCCGTTTGGATACACAACCAACAACGTTGCATCCCCCCCACTGGTAGCAATCAATTTTCAAGTCAAAGACATATACAAAACAAGCTTCCGTGGACCCTGCAGTCATCAACAGCACACCGTCATGGTGCGGATACTTGGCTCAAAGCCGATGCTGCGCTGTTCCATTGAATCTACAGGTGCAACAGCAACGTGTCAAGCCAACCGCTATTGAACGGGCGGAGTGCTTCAGTGAAGGCACCAATGCTGCCGCGTCACCGAGGATCGATCCCTAACATGTGTAACCCAACCGGGGCCTGCACAAAATATCGATCACCGGTTGGGCCCCGGACCTCAACCCAGGGGATGGGCGTCAAGAGGAGTGCAGCGTGGCCTATGGTTCTGCTACAGGCTGGTGAAGGCATATCTGAAGGTTCCTCCAGTTGGCTCTCTGGAGCAAGGGCGTGGACATCAACACTTAATGTTCTGATAGTCGCAAAAATGTGTGAGCCCATGCGATTCCGACTGTTTGCGCATGCATCGACGAGAGCAGCTTGGCGGTCGGTAGGCAAGCACGAAGTTTCGGAGAGCAGTGAAAACTGCGTTCAGCCCCCTGTGTCCCCACAGCACGCGATTGCCAAACTCGCAGCGACACCCCACGAAAGAGTGGTGCAACGATAACCTTCCGCGAAATTGCGACCCCTGTCGAGAGAGACGTCAAATTACAGCACCTCGTTCGATTTAAAATCGAATGAATTCTTTGGACCGCGAGTTTTTTTCAGCATCCAAGACCGGGCCCGCGCATGCAAACTCGAGACCCTTGCACTTGACGGCGCTGCCTCTGCGACGCGGCAGCCCCGTAATGTGGACTCCGGAATTACGCCAGTGGGGGAGCTTCCCGACGTCGACCAGGCACAGCTCGAGTCTGCTGACGCGGTCCCCGTTGTAGGTTGTCGCACGAGGTGTACCTCCTCGGTTTGCTAATGCATGAACCGCCCCGTCGGGCGGCCCCCCCCACTCTTTGATCCTGATCCCGGGGACAGTTACCATCATTCGCGTTACGCCACCGTTGCTTAACCCTCGCCTGTTTTCCGGGCCCAGCCCACCGATCCTGCGATCAGCCCCCCGGCCGCCCCGTGTCCGAAGGCGGATCCCAAAGTATGTGTTGGCCCTGGCGCGCTTGAATGTCGCGTGGCTTTCCTGTTGCAAGGGTGATGGGAGCTGCGACGCGGGGTGGAGGGACCATGCCGGGGGGCGTCGCGTGGACCCCGCAGGCAAGGGCGCGTCACAGACGGCCTTGCCACCCCGCACTGGCGGCCCACCGCAGCAATGCGGTGGTGGCCGCAAGGCGGGGTCGTTGCTGACGGTGAGGCTTTGCCGCAGGAGGACGACAAGCTGAGGAGGCTGGTCGGCGAGTTTGGCGACAAGCGGTGGTCGCTGATCGCCGCTAAGCTGGGCAGCAAGGAGAGCAAGCAGGTGCGGTGGGAGCGGGTGGGGAGCGATCACGGGGGCCGGTGGTCGCTGGACGGGGTGGGATGGCGGGCGGGCGAATTCAGTCTGCCGCCTGCCGGGGCTGCCGCCCTGTTGGCGCTCAGAGTGTGTGTCCTGTGCGCGCCGCAGTGCCGCCGGAGGTGGAAGAATTGCCTGAGCCTGGAGGTGAAGAAGGGGTCATGGAGCCTGGAGGTGGGTGGCGGGGGGATGGGGCCGGGCGCCGCGCCGCACGGTGCTCTTCCGGATCCGAGCGCCGCTTGCGATGCACACGAGGCTGTGCGGTGCTCCCTTCGCCTGACCTCCTGATGACCGGTCGTTCGGACTGACAATGCCGTGGATTCGTACGCCGGTCGACCCCCTTTGGGGTGTGTAGGAATCAACGCCAGGCGCTGTGTGGCACTTCGTGCTCAACGAATCATCACCACGGCTCTTGGCCTGAACTCAAACGCCGCGCGGGAGGCTTTCCGAGCTGGTGCGCGATCGGCGTTACCGACATACCTTTGCCCGTTTGGATCAAGACGGCCCTTACCTGCTCGCGCGTTTTGGCTCGCATTTTGCCTCCCCCACACTTTGTGATCCGAGCGGCCTCGACGGGGTGCGCTTTGGCAACCGCACCCCCCCGGCCCCCGCCTGACGGCCGCCCGCCCCTCCCCCTGCAGGAGGACGCCGCGCTCAAGATGCTGCACGAGGTGCACGGCAACCGCTGGACGCTCATCGCCCGCCTGGTGGGCGGCCGCACGGACAACGCGGTGAAGAACCGCTGGGCGGCGTTGCTCCGGCGCAAGACCACCGCCGCGCGGCGCGGCCGGCGACCGTCCGCGCACGGCAAGCTGCGGGGGCTGCACAAGGACTACCTTATTCTACAACAGTCCGGACGTGAGCGCCCCCCCCCCTCCTCCTTCCGGCCCCTCCGCCTCGCCTATGCCCTCCGGTTTTTGGCGGACAGATTCTGGTGTGTCGCGCGCCCTTCCGCCGCTGTTCCCGGCTGCCGATCGCTGAGGCGTGGCTGTCCGTTGGTGAGCAGTCGCCGCCGTGCTGGCCTTGCCAAGATCCAACCCCATCGCGTACGACAGTAACCCTTTGAGGGTTCGCCGTTCGCTGAACCTTGTCCCTTGGCCCTCCCTGTGGGCCGCCCGGGGCCGCCTGGCGAGTGACGGGTGGCTGACCGCGATCGTGTGGCTGGCTGCAGACCGGAGACGGGGACGACGGCCGAAAGTACTGAGGGAGTCGCCGGAGGCGAAGGAAGAATCCACCACGAAGGGGACATCGGGAGGCATTGAGGAGCAGGTGAGGCCGCCCTGGGGCCGTGGGTGCCATGCGTGGGGCTTGGAGGGTGGCTGGAGCATGCCAAGTTGGGCTGTGTATGGAGCTTGGATGTGAGCCTGGCCTGCGCATTAGCAGTGCAGCGAGTGTTGATCGATGGCCGGGGGAAGGAATGAAAGCCTCCTTGGCAGAAAGTGCAGCCTGGTGCAAGGTTCCCCTCTCCTGGGGTGTGGCCACAGCCGGGTGAAGTCAAGTGTCACGCAGTGTCCCACAGGGTTGTGATGTCTAGGAGGTGGGGGAATGGAATTTGGGATCTGTTGTCGTGGTGCATCGCACTCTGTGCATCCGTTTGATCGCCAGGTTTGGTGGGAGGGTCGCTTGTGGGCTAACTTGGTGGGTGCCCCTTGCAGGTGCTCGTCAATGTGCCCAACAGCATGGCCATGGACTGTGCCGACAGTTGCGTGACCATGCCCCCGAGTGCCGACAATGCATCGGAACTCGACGTGCTGGTGGAGAACTTGCTTGGAACAACAAGCCTTCCTCTCGCTGATGGTGCGATTTCCTGGCCACTTGCAGTTTAATTTGTTGCACCAGTCAGAAAACAAGGAGGGGAATACACCTCATAATGGGCTCCGTAAGAAGTGCATATTGCTGACGGCTGCTTTTGTTGGGTTGTTCTTTTGGAGTCCAGAGGCTATTTCACTGCCCTTCAGCCTGGAAAGAGTGTCTGAGGCCTTCCCTTGGCGTTCCCTGGGTTGTACCCCAACACACAAACCAGGAGCTGTGCATTGACACTTATTTGGTGTTTGAGCAGAAAATTTGTTCATGGACTTCTGCTCTGTCTGAAGTGAGGTGCTTTCTCATCTGCAGGTTTGACGTGTCCTCTGAGCTTTCCCCTGTCTGACCCCTGCACTGGTGAGTTTGCACCTGTGGACCTGCCCCTCAGTGCGGGTATGCCCGTGGCGCCGAACAAGGACTATTCGGTGGAAGCGTCGCAGCCCTTCGCCTCGTCCCTTGACAGTCCCTGGGGCTCCTCTGAGCACTATGGCAACTGTGATACTGTAAGCCAGTGCTCATCGGTGCCTCACGCTGCCCATCCAGTGAGTCTGGCGTCGATGCTGGACCCGCAATCGCCGGCTGGTCAAATGTCAAGGCTGGGGCTCCTTGCAGACAAGCAAGCGGTGCTTCATAGCTCGCTTCCATGTTTCTCACAGATCGAGCTTGACATGCTCCTCAAGGCTTTGAAGGTCGAATACGAGCAGCAATAACAGTGGTTCCCTCCACATGTACGATTTTTTGACTTGTTGGCAGGGTGGAGGGGGGGGCCGGGGGAGGGGAGATAAACGCTGGGCGATGCTGGGCCCTCGGGGCCGATTTTTGACATGTGAGTGCCCATCACTGTGGGGGATTGATTGGTTTTGGCGTTTTGAAAGGACGCCTGGACAGGGGGTGGGGTGGGGAGGGGTTAGGGTTCTGCGGGCAAGACGGGTGGGGCAGAATCAAAAGGGGTAGAAGCAACCCACTTTCCCAATTTGCACCTGTGATTAGGAGGGGGGGAAACTTATTTGCAACGGGAGATCAAGATCCTGTTGCCATGGGGGGTGATGATGCACTCTTTTGTGACAGCGACGGCTTACGATGTGCAGGACTTGGATGAGAAGGATGGGGATTCAAATGGCACCCTCATCCATGGCCATGATTATTTGCGCGAAAAATGAGACTGAGAGTGATTAGGTGCCTGAAATGAGTTTGGCATTGAGGTGTTAGACAGGGCTTCACAGCATGGCTTCTTCCCAGCAACCTCGACCATACAACCAGAGATGGGAAGCCTGCATTGATGTATTGGGGTGCGTTAGTTGGCAGGAGGCGATGGGGTTTGGGGATGTGCACCCTTGCAGCCAGAATGCAAGGCAAGAAACGATTGTAGCAGGCGCTGTGGATGGGAGAGCTGTATTTGGCTGGTACAGACAACAGGAACGTCGCTGTCAGGAGGGTGGGAGTACGCTTGCGGATAGCGTACACCTGTATCAGTGCTGCTGATGGTGGAGACGTTTTTGGAGTGTGGATTGCTGTGGAGCTAAATGACTGTTTGCACCTACTTTTTTCTTCTTTCATAAACGAAGGGCCATGCACAAATGTTGCGTGTCAGTCCAGAGACCAGTTGATGAGTGTGGCGGGGCTGGCCATTCGATCGTGTACAATATTGTCAAGTGGAGCCTGACGCCCCCGTGGGGTTGTCGAGGCCGACTCCTTCGATCGCCTTGTGTCAGGCCTTAGGGTTAGGACTGGCGCAGGCATGTGGCAAGCACAAGCAAATTGTTTTTCCTCCAGGGTCCATTGCTTCTTGTATGGTGTGTTGATTATTTTGCAGAGGGGCCCGCACACCTCACCCTTGGGGCAGTGAGCGTGGGCCGTGTCGGCCGGCGACTGACCCAGCATTGCTGAGTTCGGGCCATCTTTTCGTTGTCACTGCCGATCCGGGGTGCGTGGGTGTATGGGTGTGCAGGCTTGAGCTAGTTGGAGAGCAGATTGCATTTCTGGACTGGGGGCCCTGGCATCGTGGGGATAGCCTGGTCAGCTTTTGCACCTGGGGGATGTGAAGGATGGCGAAGAATTGTGGCGGTATGCCGGGGTTGAGCCTGGCTCCCCTTGCTCCCGTGGAGGTGCAGACGCTGGGCTGGAGGTTCTCTCGGTGTGCGTGTGTGTTTCAGGAGGTGTGGCTGAGCGGTGAAATCGCGGGGAGGGGGTAGCAGATCTGGTGGATGTGTTGGCGTTTGATCTGCGTGCTGTTGCGGGGCTTGTTTTTTCGTTCAATTGTTTTTGCCCCACGCCCGCCGCAGTGCAGGACCGCCTGCCCGCGGCACAGGCTGCGGTTTCGACGGTCAAGTGCGCGAAGCTCGTTCTGCAAGCGGCCGGCCGGGGTGCTTTTCCTGGGAGGGGAAGTGAGGGCGATATTTTTTTGGATGGCTCTGGCTCAACCAACCTTGTGCTTTTTTGTGTGCGTGTGTGTGCTTGTGCTTGCGCCCCCTTGTGCACGGAAGTGGTGTTCGAGGTGTCGATGATTGGGACTGTCCGTTACATACTGCAGTAGTGTATGTTTGGGTTTCTCAACAGCCCCTGCTTGTATGTTTGCGTGTTTGGGCCACGTCTGGTTTCGGGTGGCCCGTGACGCCCTGTCCCAGTCTCGATTGCTTCGTTGACTGTGAGCTGTTGCAGAGATGAGGTCGCCTCACGCAGATTCCGGAATGGCAGCGGATCGTATGCTGGCGGTGGAACTGCGGGTTTAGAGTGAGCTCTGCTCAGGCAGGCACTCAACCTGACGGCTAAAACATCGCGTTGACGATGATGGTGGCCACTGCAGGCGCGCCGCCAGCAGCACCGTATCGCTTAACGTGGTGCCAACATGGGTGTGCGCATCCTCACCCTCTTGCAGTGTTTGTGCACGGACGCGGATGCTCACGTGCGTGTGCATGCGCGTTCTTGACATCCAGGCAGAGTGAATCACTCGATTTGTGGAACTGTCCCCCACACCAACTGCACACCACGGAATCTCCTGGCAAATTGTGCACCGCCTGTTGCCCTTTTTTTGACAGGTAGCCCTCCGCTAGCACGGATTCCAAGCGATCTCCCATCCTTCCAATTCAAAGATGATATTTTACCGTCGCACGTGTGGCCCGCTGTTGCACAGCGACGCAGCCAACCTGTTGTCACGGCGCCGAGGGCCGCTCCTCACACACAAGGGCAAGCGTCACGGAACGCCCGCCTCAGGAACTGCCTAATGAGCTGCAAGCTAGCCCCTCCGGAACATCGACCCCACGAGCTCGAGGGCTTGGCGTCAAAAACGGATCCAACTCGACCCAGGCGAGCAACTGGCTCCACAGCTCCTTTGCATCTCCCTAAGCCAACGCCACGGAAGTTTGGGCCCGTTCTTGCTGTGGCCCCCGCAGGTCGGGGCGGGAATTGCGCCCGTTCCAGAATCGACAAGAATGCGGCGCGCTCAACAACGAAGAAACCCACTCTAATCCAGCTCGGGCGCGCCTCAAATCGACACCGAGACTCTGGCAACAGCGACTCACGACGGGCCCCCCGCATCAACGATTATCTAACGCTGCATTAACCCAAACGGGCATCCGGGGCTCCTTCACAAGGAACAACCGTCAGTCGGGCGAGTCGGCAGTGGTTCATGGCTGGCGGCAGCATTGATCAAGGTTTCCAGTCGGAGAGCCCTTTCATCTGCGCCCTGAACCTCTCGGTGTAGGACACCAGGTAGAACTCCTTTTGATGCTCCCTTAGAATGCCCTGCACGAGGTCGTGCTTGTATCGCTCCCACAGCAGGCCCTCCCTGAGATCGTCCATCAGGTTGTCGTCCACGCGGTACGAGTCGTTGTGCTCCTCCAACTTGCGCCGAGTGGCCGCATTCACCTTGTTGAGGAGATCATGCCTGCACCAATCGATCAGTCGCCCAGCCCTCAGTCAACCCATTGATCAGCCTATTGATCTGGGAAATGGGCAAGGAGTCGCTAAAGCGAAGGCATTGTCGCTAATAGGGAGAATATTCCGAAGCGCACGCGTTATGGCCAGTCTTGGTGGCTGACAATATCTGCAAGGAGCGGTTATGTTGATGGCCATGCCGCCGTCGTCGAACACAAGCTAGGTTACCAGCAATTTGGCCCATGTGATTGGCCACGGAGTGTAAATGCAAGAATGCTCCTTGTTGACGATAATCATGGCCGAAGTTTGATGCTGGAATTGAGATGCTAAACACGGGCACAGCCCACGAGCAGCTCAACCTCTGTTCGTTTCTGTGGAATTCGAACAGGAGGCAGCGGCGGCGACTTCGCTGACAAATAGCCACCAAAGGTGCCTGTGGTGCCCGCATAACTGGCACACGCGCTTTGCTGAATACTGAAATACAGAGGTGCAGGGACAAGTGCAGACAGGCTTGGTTTTTACGTTTACGTTCACGTTTTTACTTTTACGTTTTTACGCGTAAAAACGTAAATTTGCAAAGGGCCTATTTTTACGGCTATTTTTACGTTTTTACGTCTCCCTGGTACACCCAGGTTATACGATGAAAGTTGCGTACAATGATCAGTCTTTCGCCATCTCCAGCACCCGCAACACAATGTCCACCTCGCCCTTGGCAAGGGCGATGATGGCGCTTAACAAAAACTCGTTTTCTGCCCCTTTCAGGGCGCCTAGCTATCACTCTCCGGACTCCGTAAGTCTGTATGTACTGTCCTTATGTACACCGGACAGTTTTTACGTTGTATTTACGTATTTTTACGCACTTTTACGCGTAAAAACGTAAAAACTATTTTTACGCGTAAAAACGTAAATACGATCAGTTTCTACGGCGTAAAAACCAAGCCTGAGTGCAGATAAGTCCGTTCAGCTCAGAGCGCAAGCTTGGAAAATGTGAACAGAGGGATTCACGGCCAACAAAATGCGGGGCACGTGCGCTACTGACTGAGCGGTTTCAGTACAAAACGAGCACAACTTTGTTCTGAAGGCCGCTGCAAAGGGAAAAAACATGGGCGTCTTTGGCTTAGCGAAAACCGCCATTCTCAAATCACTCGACACATGGCGCAAAATCCAGTGTGTGTGGAGGCGAGTGACCACTTGTGGGCACCGGCGGCGTCCGGCCTTCAAACCGCCAATGCAATTATAACGATTTGGAACAACAACGGACAGCTATTGGCTGTGTACGTTGCGGCCCATTGTTGAGGGTTGGAGGTAATTGGCACCGTTTCAGCCGTTGGACCGCGGCGGTGCGGTATGGAAAAGGCAGGCAGCGCCCACAACTTCACGTCTTGGCCACTGGCAGATACCACACTGTGTGCTCTGGGTTGCTTCGAATATAATAGGTACGTGGTTTAAAGTGACATAGGGTACAGGAATTCCTGTATCCGGATGGGTACTTGTGGTACTTATGGGTGTTTGTGCTTCCTTACGAAGGAACTGTAAAGGCTGCACTCCACACTTCCGCGCCGAAGCCATTGTGTCTCCGCCACCAGCAAAGTCATCACTTCGCAGCTCTGAATCTGCATTTGCATTTATTTTCATACTTTCATGACGACGACAACATCGTGAAGTGTCGCCCATCAGTTGGCTACTTCTGTGGTCGCCTCATGAACTGCCGCATCGGCGTCTCAGTTGATGGCGCGCGGGAAACCCCCACCTGGTTAGAACGAGAAGCTCTGTGTATGAGTTGCTGATTACGCTGGCGCCGCGGCGCGCGCCCTTCAAGGCAGCGACCTCTCCAAAG